GCAGCTGCTACCAGCAGTAATAGGGAGGAGAGTCGTGGTCGAAGAGTCCTCGTTGACCTGCACATCACCGCCACTTTCGGGGTTGACGATCGGAGGCAAGACGAAACGTGTCGGACAAGCCGCGTCGGTGCTGCAGTTTTTACCGCACGTCTCCGCATCGGAAGCCAGCGTGCCGTTTTCACTTGGAGCGCTGTGAAGAAGAGTGGCCACTCTATCATCGGGAGACGGCGGTTCCGCCGGCTTTACTACTCCCGTCGCAGTGTAGCGGCGTCGCCGCAGTCTTGCGGGCGGCACGTCCCCTGCGGCAGAGAGGCAGCGCAGTCTCCGCGTTGGTAACGTTGCGCGGACCACTCCGGCGGCGGGAGGACGCAAGGATGCGTTCCTCGTACCGAGTGCGCTCTGATGCGGCGTCCGCTCTGATCGACGACCTGCCGCCGACGCTTCGCACCTTCTTTTGTCAGGTGAGACGGCCGAATCACCCGACTTTTCAGTGTCGCTTAAAGAGCTGGTATCGTTTCTGGAAGCCTACAGACGGCGCGCCAGGTGAAATATCGTGGTGTGGCGTTGTAAACGTTGTACAGGGTTGCGTCATAAAGCCAATGTGGGTAGCGAGATCGACTTTGTGTTAGAGCTTCATCCTTCAAAAGACTCGACGGCAATGCGATGGTTTAAGCTGTACTCGTGAGAATTGTCGGCATGTTGCCTTCGCAATATAGCTAAGAATCATTAGATGTTATTCACAGATGGCTCCACACTACTAGCTTGTTTCCCCGGCTGGGACAGCCAATATACCATCTATAAAACTTGTTTCTTCTGTCAGAAGCTGAGAACCCACGTCTCTGTAGAGGTATACAAGGGTTCCGAAAAAGCTGAAGGAAGCCGTTGTCGATTTCCATGAAGATCACAGTGATAGACTACTGAGTGAAAATGCGTACACAATACATAAGATCTGGGCAACTGCATTAAGTTCTGCATACCATCACCACTTCTTTTAAGTACCGTCTGAATTAAACTACTTGTCTGCGATTGTCGATATCCTCAGTGATCACATGTACATGTACTCGCCGTAACGCGCGTTCTGCGACGTGCGAAAGATCGCTTTTCGGTTTGATTGTTCGGAATGACGCTAACATTTCTTTTTCATCGCATTACTCCAATACCCATAGGAATGCTGTTCCTGTAACGACTGACGCTTGTTCGCGTTGCATTTGTAGCTTCGCGGTGGTTGTGCCGGGCTGAAAAGATAACTCAAAGTGACTCCCTTGCTACACGGCTTAATAGCGAAGGTTACGCGCTATCGCTTGTCGAATCGCAGTTACTGTATACGCTAAAATGTCCAGCACGGTGAGGTGGTAAACTCTACGGAAAGATTTATCGTTTCCCATTCACGCACTCCTTGTCGTGCTTTTGAAAGCTCCAGTAGCATGTCTGCGTTCGGTAACCCCTAACAAGTCTAGACGTGCAGAAATGCCGCTGGACATGCGAGGCCGTGGCGGTCGCATTTCGAGGGAGGCGAAACGGCCGGTGGGGGTCTGTGTACTGTGCGAAGTCAGTGCACCTTAAAGAACACCGGATGGTCGAAATTTCCGGAGTTACACATTATCACATGGTGGTATCAGAACGTAACATCCCAGATGTTATGTTACAAATGCAACTGTACGTTATTTAGTAACGGTGGTGCACACATTAAGACACGAAAAGATCATTTACTGTATACGCTCGACATTATTCATCACTTGTTATTTGCAGCGTTGCAGTCGATCAACTGCGCAAAAAAAATGGGTAATTTTCTCTGAAACTACCGCGTTAGATTTCACAAAAAAAATTAACAGGACATGACGTGTAATGTAGGCAAATATTTACGCGCATCTTGTTTATCCCCGGGAACGTTCAAATTTTCGGTTGGTTAATTAGCAAATCTCTGATGGTGCAGATTTTTAATTATAGCAGATTTCTGATGGGGCAGTTTTTGAGATGTTTCTGCAAAAAAAGTACATCAGCTGGAGAATGAGATGTATACGAGTGCTTTGCATTGTTGTCACTGCACGACGACGTCGGAATGCCGTTGTTATTGCTTCTCTGAAAATAGCTACCCGCCTCAGATGGCATGCCCGAACTTTCTGTACGCGAGCTATAGTGTTTTCTTTACTTTCTCTAGCAACGAAAGGCAGCATGCTCAGACGATTGTGACATGCAAGCTTCAAAGGAATTTCGGTTCTATACAATGCACGTGTCGGTATGTCTCGTGTGTTGCGTTCTTTGACCGCAGCAATGGCAGCATAGCCTTGTGGCATATACGGAACGCAGCCAAGTCAAATAACACCTTGACTTGGGCGAGCTGCAGTACATACTCTGGGAAATGCAGCGCGGCTTGGACGAAGACGGCAGACGCATAAAACACAGACGAGCGCCAACTTACGTCCCTGGCTTATTTGCACTTCATCAGGCCATTTCGCGCATCAAACCTGCCTCAGTTTGTATTTCATATCAGTACCTTGGTTGATATAGGCAGGCTTATTTTATAAAAGGGCCCGCTGAAGAGAGCAGGTATGTACTCACTCGTAAAGTCGGCGCTCGTCTGGGCCTCCTGTCTTCGTCGGGAGCCTCGCGGCATTTGTCTATGGTGTGTATACCTAAGAACTAACCGTCATGTAGACTAACCGTGTCTATACCTAAGGCACCGCATGTAGACTAAACGTATATTAATGGCATTGCGGAGGCGTCTGAACGTTGTAACAACTACAAAAGTCGCGTTCATTTAGGCGCACCAAAATTAATGCGAAGGGTGTTAACAATCCACCTATGGTGCTCGCATGAGAAGCTTCATTTCGAAAATCACGATTGTGAGGGAGTGACAGTTGGAGGTATTTTAGGATTACAATGCAGCGAAATCATCTCCTGTATTGCACTGTTCTGGTTATCGTGGGCGTCAACACGAGTCATGCAAAAAGTAGCTATTATGACGTCGCCACATGAATATTGCTTTCGCCTGAAAGTCCTCTTGGGCAAATTAATCAAGCAGCGTGTGACTTTTAAAATATTACCATTTGTTCCTGGGCTCCTTATACTGGTCTTACAGATCATAGACTATTGTCGCTCTGAGCAAGAATAAAACAAACTCGAAGAGAATAAGCAAGGGGAGCGCTAAAGTATTCCAGAGTTTCATTACAGTTCTAAATGACACCACCTGCCTCTTGATGGCAGCGCATGGAAATTGAGAAAACAAAATTTGTGTAAACAATATGCCGTATGTCATCAAAGACTACCAGGGCGGCATGAGCTTCGTGCAATGACGTTGGCTCTCATCGGCCTCCAGCTTTCCCCGCGTAAGAACATGAAGATACCCACATATCAACCAATCAATCAAGAACTTGAAGATAATGCATGCGTTATTCTGTGGCCAAAACTTTATAACCATATGTTGTCTCGGCGCACGTCTCGTAAATACAGAATTTAATCACAGAGGCACAGGAGGCACCGGTGTATACACCGGTGTCTCCATTGCCACTATACGCACTATGTTGTCTATACTCTATATTGTATAGTGCGAACGACTTCAGTATACAAAGGGAAAGAAAAAGAATTTCGGCTGTATTTACAAATGTGTTCATGTATATTTTTTTGCAGCTTTTACAGACTTGTAGTTGTTCACCTTGACGCCAGGCATATTCTCGAACTCTGATGTGCGTTATGTTGTATGTGCTTATTACGTTTTTTTTGCGGCAGCGTACCGGGCAACGATCCCAAAGCGCAAACATGCAGTTTTCTGGTATCTCAAGGACTTCTTGGAGTACCTAAGAGCGGCATTATCCTTACATGCGAGGGCCGGGGTTTTTCGTAACTTTCACGGTATACGCACCCGAAGTCCCGTATAATTTTTCTGCACTATAACGTGCACCTCTTGTACCAAGAAAGAGTGTACAAAGAAACTGAGCTCTGTCAGGCGGCAATGCGCAATGTAAACATATATCGCACATTGTGCTAACACGCAACCACCAAAGCGAGCATCGATCATATCGCTCGTCTCTGGCTGATAACGTGATAGCACGGCAGGCACGCGTTGTGATAGAGCGTTCACGCGACGCAACAGTCCCGTGCGGCAACGAGGAAAAATTTCCGCTCGGAATTCCGACTTTCTCGAATCGGGCACCGCTTTCTGTGAACGGCACGGAGCCCTTGATAAATGGTATCCGCGCCAACGTGTCACATGTTTTTACTGCGTTGCAGTGTATACGCCTCCTAGGAGTCAAATGTGTTGTACACGGCGCGCTGCTTAATTAAAGTCGCGGCGAGACGCGCGCATACATCCAGAAATGACGGTTTCTAGGAGAATCGGAGGCGTGCCTATATATATAGCAACCAGTTGTATATACATCACACGTCTATACACCCGACGCCGTGGTTCGTACTGTTCTTGTGGCGCCGGGGATGTGGCGCCCATGCTAAAGAGGTTGTTGGGGGATTCTTCGGGGGATTCCCCTGCCGTCACCTTGCTGGGTCTCAAAATGGTGGGGCTTTGTGTGTATACTTTGCTGCACGACAAGTTCTGTGCGACCTCGTCGTATAATGGCGCTTATTTCGCACTTCACTCAGACGACCAAAATCACCCTGGAAATTTCACATCGATCATTAATTTTTCTTTGATAGCTTAATATATGTGTATGAGAAAACGTTTAGCGCAGCCACACTACAGTTAAATGTGCACTGTCGCTTATTTACCGCAGGATTGTGCCGGACAGCATTTGCAACGATTTTTTTTTCTTTTTTGGCTAAAACATTCTGTCGAATCAATATATGGGGTTTATGCGAGCAAAAAAAAACATTCCATTATTCTTATTATTTTAAGAATAAGGATGCGAGTCGAATACTGTTGTTCTGCTTACCTGTGGCGTTTGTCCTGGACCTCAACTAACTTGCAGCAACGGCAGTCCACCACCGTGCACCTACCAACCCAGCAACGAATTCTCCTAAGACCTTTGCCTCTCGTGTTGCGTGTGCAGATGGCGGACATATCGCCCGAGCGGCCGTCGACGCCTACCAAGGGAACGCCCGTAACCTCGCCCAATGGCACCAGTGCCGACATCAGCAGCGTGGTCGAGAACATCGCCAAGGCGACCCAGTTGAGCGAGAAGTTGAACACCGTGTCGTCTTCTTCGTACAGTGCCTCGGAAAAGCACTCCAGCAGCTCCCAGGCAAGTCGTGCATCTCGAAGGCATTGCTTAAACTCTTGGTAGACAACAGACTTGAACCGGTGGTTACGGCCTGGCATATTGTCACTCTGTGTGTGCTCCCGGCCCCTCGCTCTTTCAAACGTCCTCTATCTCTTTCCCCATTGTAGGGCAACTAGCGTGCTAGCTTTTCTAAACTGGTTAACATCCCTGCTTTTCCTATTCTCTCTCCTGTTCCTTTCTTACAGCCTCATTCAGGAAAACGGATATGGCAAACTCGACAGGGACACTACCTATATCGCGTTTCTAGATCTAAATTTTACAGCACGATCACTCTTCCTTTTAAATAAGGGCAGCCGAAACGCTTTCTGAAGATCAAATTACTGTTGCGTGCTGGCTCGCAACTATTACACTTGCATCACAGTGTGTAGGAAGTATTACTACCGGTTCACATTGGTCAGATGTGCTGTCCTTACGCAATTTTTCGAAGCCACGTACTATAGAGTAAGCGTCACAGTTACCGGGATTTCCAAACCACAGGAACCGCGCAGGCTACGCGATGAGTATAGCTAGTAAGCCTTGGCGAAGACATTATCAGTAGCACTGCATCTACCTCTGTAGTTTATACGCAGACATAACAGCAGTAGCTTGCGGGAAAACTTCGGGTCCCGCAAACTATGTTCTCGCTTGGCCTCAAAAACGTACGCTCCAAATGAATGTTCAGCCTGAAGCTTGTACTGCAGCCTGTACAGTTGTCAGCCGGTGTTCTGTAACCTTTTGCAATTTGGTGTACGTTCGCGGCGAATTCATATGAAGTATCAAACAAGACCGTCCAATTGTCTTTCTTAATCTTCGGTTGCCGTCGACTTAAGGGAAGATAAGTATACGCCTCTAAGAAACAGTTTATTGGGGACGTTTTGATTGGAGACCGATCTTCATCAGGCAAAATTTAGTAGGCTCCGACGCGCTTTTATGCCATCGACCAGCCGAGAGAGAGAGAGAGAGAGAAAGAAAAATACACATATACCAGTGGCCCAACTGCCCATCATGCACTGATAAGCAGCCAAACGGCCACGTGTGCGTACTACGCATAGCACGTGCATTTAAAAAAAACGCACCTCGGCCAGTGGCAATACCACCCATTATACACTGATAAGTAGTCAAACGACCACGTGTGAGCACTACCAATGGCAGGTGCAGTGATAAAAAGTTTGACTCCTCGAATTCGCCTTTCATCAGCTTTCCCCGTAGTTTGCAAAGAATACCAAAGTACATTCCTTGCGATCATTGTCGCTATCACGTTCCACCTGTTCTCCCCCTCCGTAGTTGCTTTCGAAGCCTGATGAGGAGGGCTACGTCAGAACGATGTGATAAATTTAAAAAAGAGAGAGCACAACAAACAAGGGCTACGCGTTTGTTTGTTCACGTTAACAAAACACTTTAACATCCTACAACAAAGTGAACGGCTATCAAAACTTTTCCCTTCCCCTCCACAAGTGGTATATAGACGGCCCAAAAACATTAAAGATTATCTTGTGCGGTCGAAAACAGATAAGACGTCTATAACTGGATGTCAGCCATGTGGCAAAGCCCGTTGCAAGGTGTGCAAACACATACAGGTAACCAACGTTACTGAAAGCACACAATCCGATTTCAAGTACTTCATTAATTCAAACCTGAACTGTGACAGCTCCAATGTAATATACCTTCTCGAGTGCGGAAGATGCGGTATTCAGTACATAGGACAGACTGCCACAGCCTTTCGCATCCGCTTCAATAACCACCGTTCACATGTTCATTCACTTCCGGATCTGCCTCTATCTCGGCATATTAACTGCGGAAACCACCCATTTGATTTCATAAAGGTCACACTCTTACAAAGCGGTTTCTCTAGCACAAGGGAACGTGAACAGCGCGAATCATACATGTTTTATAAATTCGATACGTTGAAAGCTGGTCTAAATAACACTCCAGGCATACTTTCTTCAATTCGCGCTCTGGAAGATTCAGGATAATATTTATCCTAACCAAACGTTTGTTATCTTTTTTCTCCAGGTGGTCTAAATTTCCGGAGCCCTCCACTACGGCGTCTCTCATAATCATATAGTGGTTTTGGGACGTTAAACCCCACAAATCAATCAATCATTATCTTTTTTCTACTTTTACTTTTTTTCTTTTCTTTAATTATCATTTTTTTTCTGATTTCGCCCGGAGCACGTGTTCGGGCGTGCGGCATGGGCACGCGCATTCCGAGAAAGGTGGACCACTGTCGAAGAATCCTTAAGCCCCCCCCCCCCCCCAAAGAAATCACTCACCAGACAACCAAGTAAAATGACACATTCAACCCCCGAGGTAAAAATATGAAAAACAACCTCCATTATATATTTAATATGCTGTAGCCACAGACCGGAAATCGTAGCTGCCTTTGCATGTGCCTATCCTGCACGTGCGGAGCTTTGACACGCGTAGCCCTTTTTTGTTGTTCTTCTTTTTCTTTTTTTAATTTATCACATGGTTCTGACGTAGCCCTCCTCACCAGACTTCAAGAGCAACTATGGAGGGGGAGAACAGGTGGAACGCGACAGCAACACTGATCGCAAGGAATGTACTTTGGTATTCTTTACAAGCTATGGGGAAAGCTGAAGAAAGGTGAATCTGAGAAGTCAAACTTTTTATCAGTGCACCTGCCATTGGTAGTAAGCACACGTGGTCGTTTGACTGCTTATCAGTGTATAATGGGTGGTATTGCCACTGGCCCAGGTGCGTTTTTTTTTTTAATGCACGTGCTATGCGTAGTACGCACACGTGGCCGTTTGGCTGCTTATCAGTGCAGGATGGATAGTTGGGCCACTGGTATATGTATATTTTTCTTTTTCTCTCTCTTTTTCTCTCCCTCTCTCGGCTAGACGATGGTATAAAAGCGCGTCGGAGCCTACTAAATTTTGTCGTATGAAGATCGGTCATATATATCATTCAGTCGCATGGGTAGAGCAGTAGTGGTGGAGGAACAGTAGATGTTGCCGGGACCAGCGCTTCGGCAAGTGTACGTCAATCACTTGTTGCCGTCAGCCGCTCACTTAGCGCGCATTCACAACTCTCCGGCTGGTCTCCGGTGCGCAGATGCTGAAAAGCTCGACGACGGCTGCGTCGAGCTCGGGGTCACTGCTGAACAAGAAGTCGCAGCTGCTGCACCACTCGCTGGCGAGCTCGCAGCAGCAGACGCAGCAGCAACAGAAGGAAGAGCAGCAGCAGGTGTTCCAGCAGGAGAACCGTAGCACCACGAACTACAGTCGCAGCGTGAGCGTGAGCTCCAGCAGCTCGAGCACCGACTCGAGGCTCAAGACGATCTCGTCGCAGAGGGGCTACACGGTCGACTGCAGCGTGCCGGAGGCCTCCGAGGAAGGCCGCGTCCGCGAGTCGACGCCCTCCGAGGTTCGTTTCGAGCAGAAGCGGGTCACCTCTTCGGCCAAGAGCAAGCTGGTGGCCGACGGCGTGACGGCCGAGAAGTCGGCCACCACCAACAAGGAGCTCAAGAGGCTTCAGGCTGGAGACATCACCTTTCAGGAGAAGCAACACTCTCAGGTTAGTGAGGCGCGGTCTCTCTGGGGATATCGCGATTTTGTAAAGCATGCATTTCGCTCCTCAGTGACATATCTTTTCTTTGTTCTCCTGTATTGTCCATTTCTCATCGTTCAAGGTATTTGGGGCAAATAGTCACAACTATTTAAATGAGGTCATTTTTCTATTTTTGAAATATTTTGTATATTTCTTACGACGATAACAATGAGTACTTGACCGCTGTGGGAAAGTGCCAGCGAGCGCTAAAATCTAATTAGGCAGTGGCGGGTGAAGTATATCTTAGTGTGTCGAAACTGTACCCAGTTAATGATTGGTTCATTTTTTCGCTGAAGGTGAGGTTACTAAATATTTCGTATTACCAAAGGTACACATTGTGGTAAGATAAAAAAAGACGCTCATATTTGGGGCGATCTCATAATTGTTTGAAAAACAGCCAACGTAAAAGTCCTCTCTGAAAACTGTAACAGTGTGCCCAAATGATGGCTCTTCTCGCACTGAGAGAAGTGTAGAACATGTATTCATGCTCTGGTTTTTCACTGTATTGCAGGCAATGAAAGCTCGCATGGAAGGCGAAGGGTTCTCGGCCGAGAAAATGGCCGCCGTGAAGCAGGACCAGAAGCAGCTCAAAATGGGCGACACACTTCACCAGCAGCAGAAGACCGCCGCGGCGTCAGCATCAAAGATGTCTACGGAAGACTATACGGCTGAAGAGATCTCCATGGCGAAAAAAGAAGAGCGCCAGATGTACACCCAAGGTGTGTTGCAGCAGGAAAAGAGTGCCGCCTCTTCCGCCAGCTCCAAGGTTTTCGTGAGCTCCAAAGGAGTGTCCAAGTCGTCCGCGTCGCACCAGACAGTCAAGCATATGGACTACAGCAGCGGTGGTAGCTCCTGCGCTTCGCCCATTGTGACGTCGCCGACGCAGGATATGTTCAGCAGTGGCCTGCCGCCGCTCCCTACAAACCAGAGGCCCGCCGTTGGCCAGGGCTTGGCCGACGAGCTGGACACACTTCGGTCCCCATTGTCTCAACCGGAAGTTGATAAGGCCATCTCGCGATTCGCCAGTCGGATGGCGCTCTGCGTGGAGCAGTTGAAGGCCGCCGCCGACGAAGAAGCCGTAGAGCTTCTGGCCACGATGTCGGTCATCATCCGCAAAGCGTGGGCCGTCCCGACGTACGGACACGACCTGGGATTCACCATGTGTAACATCCTGCGCACCAACGGTGGCCTCGACGTAATCCTCAAGAACTGTTCTTCTGGCAGCGAGGAGCTGCAGTTCGCCAGTGCCAGGCTTCTGGAACAGTGCCTGTCTACGGAGAACCGGTCATACGTAGTCGAACACGGTCTCGAAGCCGTTGTGCAGGTAGCGTGCAAGTGCAGCTTCAACAACCAGGCTAACTACTCTCGAGTGGGAACGGGAATCCTATGTCACCTGTTCAAGCATTCCGAGTCCACCTGCAGTGAGTTGATTCGCCTCGGAGCGCTCAAGTCCATCCTGTACGACTGCCGTACGAGTGACGTGGAGACGCTGCGGCACTGCGCTTCCGCCCTGGCGAACCTCAGTCTGTACGGCGGGCCCGAGAATCACCAAGCCATGATCAAGCACAAGGCTCCCATGTGGCTGTTTCCACTTGCCTTCAACCTGGACGACAACATCAAGTATTACGCCTGCCTCGCTATAGCCGCGCTCGTGGCCAACAAAGAGATCGAAGCGGCCGTCATGAAGTCCGGAACGCTCGACCTGGTCGAGCCTTTCGTAACGAGCCACCATCCCGAGGAATTCGCCAAGAGTCACGTGGCACATGTCCACGGACAGTCCAAAGACTGGCTGCTGCGGTTTGTACCCGTCCTCGACAGCAACAGAGAAGAAGCCCGAAGCCTCGCTGCGTTCCATTTTGCCATGGAAGCCGGCATCAAGAAAAGACAAGGAAACACGTCGGTGAGTAGATACTCCACCTCCTGCATGCATTAAGATGCCTTTCATCCAGTTGAACAAGATAACCTACGAGCTGTGTTGCTGTTGTAGGTGTTCTCGGAAATAGGAGCTTTGGAGGCCTTGCGAAAAGTAGCCAGCTCTCCAAACGCCATCGCTTCAAAGTTCGCGGCCCAAGCGCTGCAGCTTATCGGCGAAGAGGTGCCGCACAAGCTGTCCCAGCAGGTTCCCCTCTGGACTGTCGAGGACGTGAAGGAGTGGGTCAAGCAGGTATGAAAAATGTTCGGTGGTTCGTCACCCTCGCGCGTGAATATAAAACTACATGAAATGTCCGGTATTTTAATTGGTATGAGTTGTGTTGTCGCGCAGCAGAATGAGTTGTAAGCTATTAAGCCTGGCATGCAGTCACAAGTTCATCTGCTTAGTTTGCGACAAGGCAAACATGCATGTATGATTTGCATAATATCTGTAAAATTCTAATACACAATACATAAACTATGGAGGCTTAGCGCAAAAGAGATGGGGCAAAATGGAAGAGGTTTGTGGTGTAGATAAGAGATGGGGCAAAATGGAAGAGGTTTGTGGGGTAGATAAGCAAGTGGAGAGCCAATTTTCCAAACATATTGGACAGCAGGAAGCTAACTTCTTGCATCAAGCAAATAGTATCGCTTATGTGCTTCTAAAGCATTTCCGCTAGAAAATGGCGAACGTTTTCGAGTGGTTATACAGATCTACAGTCTCAGTTCGCGTTCAAGATCACAAGCTTCAACGACTAAATAATAACCAATCGATGAGGCAAGATTGTGTGTACACCGAGTTTCACTGTACTTCATATCCTTCATCACTGATATAATTGCACTGTCAGGATTACTCGACGACTGCTCGAAAATCAGATCTCTATGTAGATCATAGCCTGTATAGTGACATCACGTCCGTCCAAGCTTAAACTCTTGGGCGGCACTTTCATTCACACCAATTCATGTCACCGTTAACACCACACCACATGGACTCAGGAGTGTATTTCTTGGCCAGACCCTGCCCTTGGGCCCCTAGAAGTCGCATATGCCATCACGTTCATTCGCAGATCGGTTTCACCAACTACGCTTCGGAGTTCGTCAGCAGTCGAGTGGACGGCGACCTGCTGCTGCAGCTGGATGAGCCCATGCTGAAGGAAGACATCGGCATCAAGAACGGCATCTTGCGGCGCCGCTTCCTGCGCGAGCTGTCGCAGCTCAAGCGCATGGCAGACTACTCGTCGGTGGACACGACCAACGTCAACCAGATCCTGCAGAGCCTCGGCTCCGACTTCAGCCAGTACACGTACCGCATGCTCCAGAGCGGCGTCGACATGGACTCGCTCAAGCTGCTCAACGACGACCAGCTGTTCAAGGAGTGCGGCATCGACAACTCCATCCACCGGCTACGCATCGGACAGGCCATACGCGGTAAGGGCATCCTTCCTCTCACTGGGTCAACGAAAGCTTGTACAGAATGCGCGCTGTGTTTTTTTTTTTTTCTTGGAGGGGTAGGAGGGGGGATAACGGTCTTGCGGTATTAGTTCGAGCAGAAAAGTGAAGCAGCTAGAGTTAGATGTCTTTTATTATGAAGATAGTCACAATGCAATAGAGTGTGCTACGAGTAATAAGAGACTCACTCTGTGAGAGATAAGGGTCCACTATGACGAAGTTGTAAATGGGCAGCCTTAAATGTGATATACGTCGTTATTTCTGCTTACAAATGTGTGTAAATCTATGTCAGTCTGGTAGCATAAAAAAGCGACGAAAGGTACAAAGGTTCAGTCAGAGAAAATGTCATTTTCTGCCCCACACAAGGGTAGGTTAAGCAGAAAGTAAAGAAACAAAGAGCATCGGATAAACCGAGAGCATGCACTAAATTACTGATGTTCACTGCACAGGACGACAGTTATACTCGTTCATTGTTCGTTTATCGTGGGAACTGCAATCACACATTTGCAGCACTTTCCAGTGGCATGCGTTCGACATTTCAAAATGACGCCCGACAGTGGTCTGCTATAATGCGCGAGCGCAATCGCGCGCGTTAGTCTATGAGCACTGTACCGAGGACAGTCACACTCAAGATGTTCAGGAGACCACAGTTACTGCAGGCAGCGGTGTCAGCCGTTCCAGCAATGTAGAATGCAAAAGACTGGAACAAAAGCTAATCCAAACCATAGCCACCAGGGTAGAAATAGAATCACACCAGTACTTTTCTTTGCTGAAGTTCGTAAGCGGACATGAAGATATCCTTGGAAGCGTGTTAACCCCTTTCGAGTGTGAAGGCGATTCGTTTTGGCCACCTTGACAACTAGTATTGCGACAGACTTGTGCACCGCACGCATGCGCAATGTGCGGCCAGCCCGCTGCTACAACATCTATAGTCGCTTTCAGCAACTCTCTTACTTTGTTCGTATACTGAGACGCAGATCATCAGTCCGTCGTCGCGCGGAAGGTCCTCCGCTGCATGCACAATGGGCGATGTCCCGAGACGTGGTACCAACTTTCGTTTCATGCCATTCGGAAACGACGCCGTTTGTCAGCCTTGGGAAGGCGGTTGTCTCACGCTCCTTCTCCAATTGACAACCTTTGTGTCTCTTGAGTGTTTCTTAAGCTCTTTCTATAAATGTATACCGCCGAAGTTTCGATGAATCACGGGTGGAAATGAACGCTTTGTGTGTGTGTGTGTGTGTGTGTGTGCGTGCGTGTGTGTGTGTGTGTGTGTGTGTGCGTGTGTGTGTGTGTGTGTGTGTGTGTGTGTGTGTGTGTGCGTGCATGCGTGCGTGCGTGCGTGTGCGTATTTGTTTGTTACACAGCATGATTAAACAACGAACGTAGCTAAGAAAAGTCGAGACAGGGTATATCTTGGCCGTGAAAGAAAAAAAAAACTGCTTAGAACAGAAACTCAACTATGGGTGAGAAACGCAAGCATTGGCATGCGTTTCCGAATTTCCGGTTCGGACATCTTTGAAATATTGACCGTCAGCACCGACTAAGATGGTTTTCGGGGCCACAAAATATTCTAAATGATCAGAGTTGTCGTAACAGTCTATGAGACATTACTTATGCTTTTTTTTAAGTTACGGATTCAAGCGCGCTCGCACACACACACGCACTATTCCCTCGTATAGCGCTATACGCCGTAGAAGAGTGAACACGTACGTGTATACGCCTGAGCTCAGCCAGGAGGCATTTAGTTGGTTATTTCACCCGTTTTTAAATCTATCTCGAACACTAGCCGTGGTGGCTTAGCGGGTCTGGCCTTGCGCTGTTAAGAACGAAGTCGCGGGTTCGATTCCCGGCCACCACGGCGGCCGCGCCCATAATGCTGGCGCAACCCAGAAAGCAAGTCCCGCGTATTACGTTTATGTGCGCGTTAAAGAATCCAAGGTGGCCAAAATTATTCCAGAGACCGCTTAATGACGGGAAATTCCCCGTAGTCGTAACGTCACTCCGGCATGTAGAGTCGCAAAGCCACCTACTTTTTTTTTTTTTTGTAGTTTTCACTGATATGGCAGTGCGCCGAAATCGTTGGCACAGTTCGCAAAATGGCTTTGTCGCAAGTTGGCTATGCTCTTTCCCGTTTACTGAGCTGCTAGCCCCAACCTTTTTCTCAACTTTTTGCTTCTATAATTATAAAATACGGCTGCTACGCACTATCAGTGCGAAGACTGACGAAACATCAGCGGTGGTATAGTGGCTGTCTTTTCCTCCCTTTTATTCTCCTCACCTTCGCTTCTCTTCCCGCCCCTTTGGACACTTATACTGTACATGGCTATCATATGCTTTATCTTCCCTTTCTTTCCTTCATCTTCACCCAAGCATTGCATGCCCTCCCCTTGCTATGTACTATATTATGCAACTACCAAGCACTTACTCACTTTGCATTGCATAGCTCTACTTTTAATGGCGTCCCGCTTAAAATCCTAGATATAGCCAAAACACCGGACATTTTTCGTCCAGTTTCCTGTATGTAGCCAGCATCCGGCCAGAACCCCATCAAGAGCGTATAGTCAGCTTTCCTTCTTTCTCATCTTCTCTCCCCTGATTCACATGGAGGCGGAAATGTCGAGGCCCGTGTGCTCAGATTTGGGTGCACGTTAAAGAACCCCAGGTGGTCAAAATTTCCGGAGCCCTCCACTACGGCGTCTCTCATAATCATATGGTGGTTTTGGGACGTTAAACCCCACAAATCAATCAATCTCCCCTGATTCACCATCTTCACACGGTCGACAAGCGCCGCTACATTCTTCTCGGCTCTTAAAGGTGCTTTGCCTTTCAACTCGTACGCAGCTTAATTAGTGCAACATCTGAAGTTCGCTGTACCTCGATCTCCCCGACAGGAAACAGTTCATATAAAAGCACCGGGCGACAAGTGGGACACGGTGCGCGGGGACGACCTATTCGTCCCCTCGACAAATCGTTAACACCGGCCGTTCGAGGCTGGAATGACGTCAGCCGAGCTGGCATCCGCACCGCTAGCGAGAAATCGGGTAGACAAGCACCAGCTGCGAGTTCCAGCGTGCAGCGCGCGGCTGGCCCGGTGACTCGAAAAAAGGGAACTTGTCTGGCGTAAATATAGCATCGCATGAACAAAAAAAAAATGGAGTGCACCGAGAAAAATAGTACAGAGCGCGCAGCCAGCTCGCAATGTACCGATGTGATTTCGAGCTCTTGGCACTAGTGGCTGGCATATTTGTGTCCTGCTTGCGTGAGACGCGCGCTGCCCGGTGTGCGCAAGTCTTGACAATACGTGGGCGCGGACGAAATCGGGACTCTGAAGCGGGCGTGTGTGGAACGAGCAAAGGACCAGCCTGTCCTATCACTGCTTCAGCAGTACTCTAGTTTTATATACCCTGCATATGCTCTGGCGAAGACCTTAGAAATTGCAGAGTGATTGATTGATCGATTGATTGATTTGTGGGGTTTAACGTCCCAAAACCGCCATATGATTATGAGAGATGCCGTAGTGGAGTGCTCCGGAATTTCTACCATCTGGGGTTCTTTAACGTGCACCCAAATCTGAGCACACGGGCCTACAACATTTCCGCCTCCATCGGAAATGCAGCCACCGGGATTCGAACCCGCGACCTGCGGGTCAGCAGCCGATTACCTTAGCCACTAGACACCGTGACGGGGCACTTGCTGAGTTCCTGTGACAGCCGTAATTGCCTTCAGTGACAGATGCGGATGGCGATAACCCTGTCTTTTTCTTACTTTTTTATGTACGCGCGAATGAGTTAGTCTTCATGGTCGCAAAAAGAAAAAGCGACGCAGATAGCAAGATCTTAGTTCAGGTGGTTCCACAACCGCAAAAAAAAAATACACATTGCCACAAAAGTTTCATTTTCAAACGGCAAAAATGAGTGTTTATAAACGCGGCTGAAGTTGAAAATACGAAGAAAACAGCACAGCCGCCAAGTGCGAATAATGGCTTTCAGTGCTTCAGATATTTTTAAATGACTCCCAAAGACCGATAACTTCTGTTCGCTCGATGCACAAGAAATATACTGCGAAACATTAAGCAATCAGGTCTAAGGAGCCACGCGCTGCGCAATCTGCCCGCCGCTGTATTGCTTCACTTCCACACCATTCGCTGATGCCGTGTTCTGCCGCTCACAACACAGCGAAAAAAAAAAAAAACCCCACCTCCCCGGAAGGAATCGTGCGAAAATGTAAATGCATTGCGTAGCGTCCATAACGTCGTTTCGCACGACAGAACCCAGCGTTATAAGAACGTTTTGTTCTTTTTTTTTTCTTACACCGTGCAGCCGCTGTTCGCCGCGCGTTGCGTTTTTTTCTGTCGCGAGAGACGGGTTATGCGTTTCCAGCTCTAGCAGCTAGCGTGCACGGTTAAAAAACTCCCAAGCATTTCCCCGAGGGTGAACATGGTTAAGTGCGAATACACGTGGTGATGCTATGAGGGGTATTTATTAATTCGCACTATTATATTTATTAATCACACTATGGTGCCTTTATGGTGTAATGGTTCCTGGGAATCGCAATTTGATCACACAGGGGAGTTTACGTTAACTCACTGGCGAATGCCAACGGATTTTAACTTTACTCCCCCTCATGACCCGCTCTCGACGGGAGACTGAGAGAGAAGGCGGGCGCGCGAGAGAGAGGGGTGCGCGCGCAGCTGCAGCGAGCGAGGAGAGCGGAGCGAGCGAAGGGGGAGGGGGTATAAGGCGCGTTACTGACACCGATATCAGCGTCGCGTCCGTGGCTTATTCGGAAGAGCGTCGCGCTGCGGCCCGCCAAGTCCTCTTTCTTTTAAAGATAGAGAGAAGACTGCGGACGTCGCCGACGGCGGTGGATGGTTTGGGGTCGCTTATAAAGTGTATTCACACTTAAAATTACTATGAAGTTAACAAAACAAACAGCGTTCTCAACACGGCGTTTCACAGCGGCGTCTCGAGCACACATTTCCTGATTTTCTAGAGAGGCGCCCAGCCAGCGAACGGTCGAGAGTGAGGCGCGACCGGGCGGTAAAGTGGAATGCTGGGAGCAGAGAGAACGGCGGGAGAAGGAGCGGCGAAGTACTGCCCCTACCCTCTCCTACACTCTTTCGCACCACATCCATCCGGGTGCTAGGGGCGAGGATAAGCGCGCGCGCCCGCAGCTGTTGCTATGGGAGAGGGTAGGCGGACGGATCCCGGCGGACGCCTGACATAGCCCGGCTGAGAAATGAATTCGCATTTAATGTGGGCGACTCCGGGTGATACAAGTGGCTTCGTTGTGCAATTCGCTTATGAACACGTAAAGTGCATGCAGATAGAGAATATGATTAACAAATTATTGCACTGGTCACACGTACAATGACTGACAGGAGCGACTGTTTTTACGGTTTACGTTGATGAAATATGAATATTGCGCGCTTTAATGTGTGTGTTGACAGATGTCTAATACCTTAACTTCGTTCTTAGGGACCAAGTTAAGCAGCATGGAGCAGGTTTTAAAGGGTAAGGGTCTTCAAGACCCTTACTCCTTATTGGTGTCCGTAGAAATTCGGCAGCATCACGATTTGCTGTTCGGCGCAGCCGCATTATTCTCACCTTGCACAATGCTCAAGCGTTTCGTTTTATAGTTCTCGATTCCACAGCGTCGTGTGTCCGAGACAAAGCAGAGCTCATTCCTTCGAGGCATCAGCCCCGTGACGCGATCGTCTGGACTGTTTCTCGACGAGGAACAGCCTGGGCCTCCTCGTCGCTTGCAACACCTTCTTTGGCAACCCTAGTTAGAGCGCGCGGCCCCTCAGCGGGGCGGTAAACAAGGCCGCTCTTGAAAACAGCCACCGCCGTCGCGCCCTCGTGCCGTACTCTTATTTGGATCGAGGTTCTGCGACGAGCGGCGTGCCTCGGCCGCGAGCTCCCGTCCCATTCGAAGCGTCCCCGGCTGCTGCCACGAGGGCGGGCGAGGCGCGTGGTGCACGGGAATCCCCGGGGCTAAAAATTGCCACGCGGCACTTATCTCTGGGGCTAAATTTGGCTCTGGGCCACTGCCTCCGTCATGTCTCCGCGCATTCCGCGGCCAGTCTCTGCTGCTTCGCGAACGCCGCGCGCTATTTCGGGAGACGCGGAGAAGGAACGCAGGGCGCGCGCTAAACCAATGGGGGCATTTTACGGAACCGCTCGCACGCCAACTACCTGCGCTGCCACGGACGCGCGCTTTTCGCGCTGTGTGAACGCTCGATCCGGCGCCCGTTTGACCGTTTGGCGAGGGTTCGGATCCCGCGATAAATAACCCAGCCTCGGCACACATATTAGCACGCACTTCCCACATCCGTGCTTGTGCGGAGAGAAAAACGGGCAGGTATACGCGTTTCGCGGCTGATTCAGGCTCTATTATTAGACGCGGGTGGGGGGCGGGGGGGAGACCTTTAGCGAACAGCATTCGCTGACTCACCCGCATCAGTGATCTATAGCGGTTATGGTACTCGTCTACTGAAACTCACGGGATCGAATCCCGGCTGTGGCGGCCGCATTTCCTGTGGAGGCGAAATTAGTCGGTGGTTTTGGATCGTAAAACGCCAACACCGAGCGTTCGCTGACTGTGTTCGTGCAGCCATGCTCTCCACGCGCGTGCTCGAAAAAAAAAAAGCAAGCAAGCGCAACGACCGATCAAGGCCTGTCTGGGAATTCGGTATGACCCGTTATCTATTTCTAATCTCTTTCCTATGCATAAGAACTGTCCTAAGGAGAAAACAGAGAAGATGAAGCGATTAAATCAGCTGCGCAAGAGTACGCAAAGAATGCGCACGTAGCAATGTGCTCTCACGTATGCAATCGACGTACGTACACCTACGCACGCATGCACTGTACAAAATACTCGGAATGCATCTGCAGCTCCCCGCGGCACTGATGAGTATCGGCATGCGAGAGCACAAGGTTACACCTATAGATCGTACGCAAGGTTATTATAATCTCCGGCAGAGATGCACGGGCAAGCAGCGCATTGCGTGCTTGGCAGGACGTTATTAGGGAGTTTTAGAATAACGTTTGCAGGGGCTGCGGGCATAGCGGGCGCAATATGAGTTTTAGAATAACGTTCGCCCTCCCCCTAGGGAAAAGTCTAGGGACTTTCGCTCCGACCGCAAACCGAAATTCACGGAAGCTACTCACAGCACTTTGCGGGCCTCGCGGGCCGCGATCGCAGCACGCTATTTCGGACTTTCTGCGTGCGGGCCACGAACGCGGACGGCGACTCGCCTTACGACGCGTGCTCAGTTGCAGTGACCGCACCGCAAGAGCCCGCGGTGCGCTATTCTAAAACTCCCTATTGCGTGTATCACACGCCGCTCGGTACATGTGCAAAGGGAACAGTTGTAACACACGAGCAAACCGGGAAAGCGTAAAAAAAAAAGTTACTAATCTTATCTTTGACAACGACAATGAAGCAAAAATAAGCCTGTCCGTCTTATCTAGACACCGACTGCAACGTCGCCGGGATAGCCCGTCGCGACAGTGCACCGTGCCTTCGATGTTTTACGAGCTCGTAAAAAGCGTCTCGAATGTGTTTTTTGCTGCGTTTGCCGCACGCGGGTGGTGCGGAGAACGCAGCAAAACAATGCATACACACGTTCGTACTTCTCCTCGCCGCTCTGTTCACCGCCAGCTGTTCTTTCGTGATGTTATTGTTCAAATTACTTTTTATTTATAACGACTAAAGCGCGTGTGTACCTTTATGGCCATTGCGCGCGTGCGAGTCCGTTGACTTCGCAAAAGTGAGGCACTTGGCGCACGCCCGGAGGTGACGTCACGGCCGTGAGAGGAACGTGTCTGAGTCACGTGTATAGGGCACCGCGGAACGCCGCGGAAAGCACGTAAGCCACGGCTTTAAGAAATATGCGGTCACGTGACCGATGCCAGAGAAAAGGAAAGGGTAAACAAGTGTGCAAAGGGACGATTCTTGGAAGCGGGCCACAATAGTGGCCCCGCGAAGGAAACGAAAAAAATAAAACCAAAACGCTCGCGAACAGAAGGACGCAGCGTGCCTGACCGCGAATTCCTATTCCACAGGGCAGCTCTGGAGAGTGCTCTTAGCTTCGAATGAAACCAGGAACAATTTGGCGCACGAGTAACCTAGCTGCGTGACCGCAAGCACGCCAGCGTCTCTGCTTCAATGAAGCGGTACTCCACAAAGACAGAACCGGTAATCGCGCATTTTTGTTTGATTTTCGGAAATGTCTTTTACACGCACTGAAACACACTGTGCGATTTAAAATACTATGTTTTCGCTTTCTGCGCAAGCTGCCTTGCAGCCGATACTTAGGCAGGGAAGGAAATACATGTCCTAAACGTTTTGTTTTGCTAATGCAGGTTTGAACCAGTGCGCGGATGAGGTGGACGAAATCGAACGGAACAAGAGCCTCGATGTCTTCGTCAGCTACCGGCGCTCCAACGGATCTCAGCTTGCAAGGTGAGGAGTTGTTATCGTTCGTAATTCACGTGTTGTCAAGCGCGCTACTTGCTCGTGACTCATCCCGTGTATCGCCTCCTTGATTTCCTTGCCTGCGCGGCTGCTCCCTGCCCTCGTTCCTTTTTTCCTTCTCTCCCATCTGCAGAAGGGTAGCAAACCACAGGCTTCTTACCTTGTTAACCTTCTTCCCATTAGCTTATTTCACTCTCTCTCCCAGTACAACAATCGTGCTGCTGTCATCGCGTGAAAGGGAGTGCATTGTGTGGGGTGCTATTTAGGTAGCCCTGCCCCACTCGCTGATAAGAGTGCATGACAATACTACCTGCGTAGAAGTATTCCTGGCCAAGTCGATTTCCTGGCCAATCAGGAAAATCTGCGTCATGTATGTCATTGACAAGATAGCTGTATACGCGTGTTAGCTGTTCAAATAGCATGATGAATTTGTGGAAGCATGTACAACAAGCACTTTCTCATCAAAAGCAAAATGTACTTAACATAGCACTTTTGTGAGAACTGAAATGCAAGTCTGTCCAAGTAGTCTACAGCATGGACGGAGAGTACGGAGCACTGCTTCATGGGTAAAAGAGCCCCCCTCCTTCCCTGTCGCTGGTCTGGGCTATTCTTTAAGAGCCATTCAGTGCCAATGAACTGTTGGTCATCCTGTCTTGCAGCTATTTCATAGGGGACTATTTATGCCCGCTCTTTTTCCTTTGAGGCTTTTAAAATTCAGATCATGAGGCAGTGACAAGTAGGGAGTTTGGCACCATAATCGCATTAAGAATGAAGTCGCAAAATGGCGGCGGGTGTGTGTGTGGAGAGAGAGAAATGTGGAAGAGAAGTCGGGTGCCCCACTCCCTCCGGGAATTTGAAAACTCCCCACCTATGGTCTACAAGATGCACATCTAAAATGCACATTGCCTTTTCTTCCAGTCTCCTGAAGGTTCACCTGCAACTGCGAGGCTTCTCCGTGTTCATCGACGTGGAGCGATTAGAAGCAGGAAAATTCGACAACAACCTCCTCAACAGCATACGGCAGGCCAAGCATTTTTTACTCGTCCTCACACCAAACGCCCTCGACCGGTGCGTGGGTGACAATGACCGCAAGGACTGGGTTCACAGGGTGAGTGAGAACCTGCTAAGTCCCAAGGTGACTGTTGTCACTCAGAGAGTGTAACTTACCAGTATCACTGTGAAGTGCGACTCCCCAAGGCTATACGGGAGGTTTTGATAAAGTAATGCTGAGAAGAAAAAGCTTTGTTTCCTGATAAACATTTAATTGCTGTGGAGCAATGCCAGAGGCAGTTACTAGTCCACTATAACAATGAGGAAACTGCTAAAGAAGCTGCCCTCTTGCTGCTCTATTGTAAAAGTGCATGTCAGCAGCTTCAATTGGATTTCCTAGCCCATTATTTTAGTTCAACAAAGAAAGCTCGCCACATGCCGTGCACTACATTTGTTCCGCTAATTTGTTATAGAGACTGTTACCTCTTCATCGCTTTCAAATTAATTTTGCGACTTCCAAATTTGACCGTTATGGTCACACTAGTTGCTCAAATGCACATGGAATACCTGTGGAGAATGTTCTTGTCTATAACCTGCCACAGTGGTCAAGTAGTTGAGCCACTCAGCTGCTGACCCGTAAGTCGCGGGATCAAATTTCAGCCGCGGTGAATGCATTTGTGATTGAGGTGAAAATGCTCGATGCCCGAGTACTGTGGGATGTCAGTACACGTCAAAGAACCACAGGTGGTCAAAATTTCCGGAGCCCTCTACTACGGCGTCTTTCATAATCATATAGTGGTTTTGAGACGTTAAACCCCAACAGCTATTATTAAAGTTCATGTCTATAAATCAGGTGCTTTAAAAGGGCCTTGCAACACTTTTTTGAGCATGGTCAGAAAACACTGCCAATCCATAATTGAGGCTCCCGAGAACACGCAAAGAAAATATTATAGTGCAGCACCAGGCCTGTAATTCAATATAAATTCTGAAACTCAGCGAAAAATTGCTTTCTCTTCTCTCAACAAATGATCCTACAAGTTCAAAAAAACCCTCGTCACACCCATTGTATCAGCCATTGGCTGATTCGAGCATAGCGCGCTCAGTCGTTACTGGGGCAGCCATGGTAGGCCGCGACTTGTCCACACATATGCGTGCGATCGTACTGAAAAGCCCCGTATTCGAAAAACAAAACAAAAAAAGAAAAACCACTGAAGGTCACGAGGCACTCGTGCCATCTCTCCCTGCTTAACTTCCAGCAGCTTCATCAGGATGAGAGAAGAGAGAAAGCAGTTGCAGTGCGTGACAAATCTGTGTGCCTAACTCTGCTCATACTGGACGGAGTCTAAACATTTTTGCGGCAGCAAAATCATGAGGGAATAAGCTCCTTTGGTGAATATATTCTATGACTACTTGAAAAAGCGTTGCAGAGCCCCTTTGAAAAGAATGCTTTATCACGGAGCACTGTACTGCTGTCACTGCACCTGTCAAATAATAACTTGGACATGAGGAGCCTGTAGCGAAATTTTCATGCCAGCTAAAGAAAGTCTTGGAAAGGTCACTATGCAGATTCACTTTATTCCCATCTGTGAGCACTGTCACCTTTTCAAGATGCAATACAAACTGGCCCAACACACCATCCTAAAGAAAGTTGCTACTAGCTACGACTTGAAATATTTGCCCTGCGACTTCTGCATCATGCCAATTTTTGCATTAAATCTGTACCACAACCGTTAGCTTACTGTGCTAAGAATTGTTGGTGCTTGCATCAGGCCATCTTGTGAAGTCTACTGTCAAAGAACACTAGAGCATGTAATCTTCTTTATATTATCGGGGCATTCCGACCATGCAACCTGCTTGTTATAGACATTAATTAGCAGTTTAAGAAAATTCAGCATAGCCTAACAAGCGAAATTTGTTTCTTCTATGTACAGGAGATTGTAGAAGCTCTTCAGAGCCAATGCAACATCATTCCAATCCTGGACAACTTCCAGTGGCCAGAATCTGAGGTCCTCCCAGAGGACATGAGGGCAGTTTGCTACTTTAATGGTGTGCGGTAAGTAAAATCGTTTTCCCTCTTCCCCCTGCAATTTCACAATTGGTTTTAACAAAAGTGACATGGTTGCTCCTGCTAAAGTTGCAACACTATTGCATAAGTATCCTTTTTATAACAATGGCTTATTTTGCAGAAATTACATCATAACGAATTACCAGAGGGTCGCAAAACAGCTCTCAATGTATTGTATATTTGAAGCCACAGATAAGCCAGGTAGTAAGCACTCTTCACTGCATAACAGATTGTTCGCTCTATTAATATGTTTTAACGCATTACAATCTGCATTGCAGGGAAGTTTACCAAAGTAAATTCGTGGAAGAGTGCAAGTAAGGTTTTTGCCGCGCGATCTAGTGCGGTTGCCAGGAGTTGGAACAGCAAGGCCTTGTCCCCCCCCTCCATAATTTTTATTTCTTATGGCATACAGAGCTCATTATGACGCTCGACCACACGCACGGATATTTATTTTCAACAACGCAAATATTGCCTGGTGTACCTTTAATCTTTCCGATAGTATTGATATGTTCTTGTTTGAGGTCCAGTAGTTTACACAATGCCAGGTGCCTCCCAATGTTTTTACGCTTCTAGACACCCTCTTGTGTACGATGCAGATGGATCCATGACTACCAGGATGCGTGCGTCGACAAGCTCGAGCGGTTCATGAGGGGCGAGATGAACGTGCGCAGCGACGGTCCGCTGGGTCGCTATGTGGGCATGGGAGGACCGGGCACACCGGGCACTCCGAGCACGATGGCCAGCTGCCGTGCAGCGGTGTACCAGCGCAGTGCCAGCAACGACAGCGCCAAGGGCAGCAACTCCTCTGACCGCGAGTCCAGCAATGGCCGAGCTCCCACAGAGCAGCCACAAGCGCAACTCCCTGCGCAGCCACACTGCTGACCCCACCGCTCCACTGGGGGGTCCCCTCACTCAAGGTATGTGGTAGCACACACAGAATAAATAAAAATACATTTTGGTAGGATCAATCTGAGTACGATGGTCAAAGTGGAGATAGCATCCAAGTAGATGTCCAGAGATGGCCTGCTGGGGACAATAATCACAATGCTAACAGATATACAATCTGAATGCAATTTACAGGTAATCAGGTGGGCAAGAGTATTGACAGAGGTGCTGTTTAAGGCCGATGCCAATTCCTGGGTACCTCTCATCTGCACTTTCTAGCCCAGCTGCGAGATCCAATTCTGACAAAAGGGAGTACATGGTTAAACCTGGTGAAGGGAAGTCTGGTGTTGTGAGTTGAGCCTGGTAAAGAAGGGGTAGCTTTGAGTAGAGGGCAAAGCTAGGAAGAGAGGGGGAGGGCAGAAGAAAAGCTATGATCAGGAGTTAGTGGTGTGGAGAGAAGAGAGCAGGCGCGCGATTGGAGTGAAAGGAATCGGCCAATGGTAGAAAGTGCTCGAGCGCAGCTGGCTGTGAGTGAAAGAGGAACAAGGGCATACTGAGCGTTGGTGAAAGCGAAGGAAAGGCTTGCTGATACCAACAGCTGTACTGTTTAGTCAGCCTTTCGGACATTGAGTCAGTTATTTTTTCCTTTGCAGTACATGCGAACATGTGAAGCAGTTGGAATATCAATCATGGGCACAATGCATGCCCTATACATAAACGTCATTTTTTCAGATGTGCCGCTCCAAATGCTGTTTTCATAAGTAGGCACTGCTATAGACCCTCTTCAAAATTGTAATGCTAGCTTTCCTGCTATGCAGTGTGAGCAACTAATGGCGGCTAGTTGATTGCTGCAAATAGCCCATTCAAGTTCGGTTTGCTTACGCAATGACGCGGAAAATGTAGAGTCGGCTTTCTTGATATAAACACTCGTAACAGACAGGCCCCAGCATGTTCAACTAGGGCTGCGTCTTCGCTTGAAGCATGACAGTTGCCGCCATTACTTGGGCAAGTATGCAGTGCAGAGAGCACTTGTGAATTATGAAAAGGGTCATTCACCAGGTAATGCACGAAGCTTGCTAGCTGACTTGCAGAACAATAATTTCTGCATTTCACTATTGTTTACAAACATTCGATGACGAACATAGGCTAACATATCCGACTTGCCAACTTGTCGCGTACATGCAAGTAGACTGTACATGGTTGGACCAATTTCTAACTTTCCTTTTGTTCATGCGTACAAGTGTAATAAAAATTACAATATCCATTGCAGGACCCGTGCTGTAAAACCAAGCATGCAGCTAGACAGAGCCATCTGCTCCGCCAGCTGTCGCGGTGGGTTCCAGTCTTGAATCAACCTTCTTCAACCGACGCAAACGGAGAAGCGACTGCCTCTTCTGCAGAGGCAAAGCTCCTCACTGTTCCGCAAGCGGCACAGTGAACTCGCAGAATCAAGAACATCAATGCAAGAGAAGCCATCGGGTCTTCCCCCCGTGGTTTCATTAGAGTTCCTGCTTCTGTGAAACAAAGAAAGTCGACACCACGAGAACTCTTGTTTACCGAGGAACAGCACTGCTTGAAATTGAGGACTATAACGACTCAAGCTGTCTCCCCGGTGTTCATGTGCAAGGCACACCAGTTTATGAAAGTGAAACATGCCGTCAGACAATGTTTTTGATGTTCATGTTGCCTGCGTTCAGTATTTGTCTACCTAAGGCTGCAGCTACAATGCATACTTTTATGACGGGAATCGTCAATCGTGTCAGTGGCCAGTTGTGCAATACTTTTGAAGTCTTAAGAAACGATGAGCTTTACTTTGTTAAGGTCTCGCCTAGTGAACGTCGGATCAACCAATGCAACTACTTTCGAATTATGAGAGTTAACATTGTGGTATTACACCTAGTGAGATGCCAGTAGGGCTTGCCTGGCAGATTGATGCTGCGAATGAAGTGTTCGAGGAGGCGACAGTCAATATTATAGGTGCCTCGTATAGGCTTTTAAAGCAAGATTTAAGTGTTTTATGTATAGATACAAAAAGCAAGACCTTCAGCACGTCAGGCATCGACGATGAGCGACCTTAGCTGCAAAGTTGTGCTTTCGGAAATGGCCGCTTGCCTTTCATTTTCCGTCCAGCGCACTTTACGCTGTCGCCTAACAGAGTGCTTTTGAGTTTTGTTCGTTGCAATATCTTTTGTTGCGTTAGGGCCTACAGTATAGAAGTGGTATGAGAGGGCCATACAGTGAGGACAAATATGAAGGAGAACAGCGAACTTGGAATCTAAAGGACATTTACTGTGAAAAAGTTGCAGCACTGAGTTTGGAAGTTGGACTTCCAGTCCGAGTGCTGCAGATGTACCAAATTAGGCGTCCCTCCCCACATTAGACCACGACGTACACCTTCCTCAAGGCTAAGCACTATTTTTTTTCTTGATAAAGTTTCCACGAGCAACTCGATAACAAAAAGAAATGCAATGGCCCGATATTTTTGGATGTCTGATAGTCACTGTATAAATTATTGTTCCTATGGTGCAGGCACCTCGGGATATTTAGTATTTTTAAGTCACATGTTTGTGTTGTGTTATACCCCACTATTTTTTTTTCTCCCCATGCCCCCTTTACCTCATGCGCAGGTGCTAGGCGTAAAAGCCTGACATTGCGGAGCACTTGTCGAATCAAAAATATCATTTCATCGTTGTATATACCGCAGAATGTTTTCTCAGATTCCGCTACGCGAGAGTTCAATAAAATGTTTTATATTATAGGAAGCCATGTGTAGTGTTTCATTTGTCATTGGGTTTGGAGTCTCGAATGAACACCCATGTACCATACTACTAGAAGATGAAAATACTGAAATCTTCATGACCAGTGTGGGCAAAGCTGTCAAATTGTGAAAAAAAATTGCCACAATACGACTCATAGCAGATGAGGAAGCTTGTATAGTAGCGTCTGTCTTTTTCCACAAGCCTACTCGGAGCACGCACATCCTCTGGGATACACATGCACACTTCTTCAAAGCAACACTAAAGATAAAATGATTTTACACTTACAAAGGCCTCAGGCATTCCACCAGATGGCTCTCGGTAAGTAGCCAAATGCATGAAAAGGAAATGCCTGTGGTTATGTTAGCTTGAAGTTTTCACACCTACCAGTCATGACCTACGATTTTGACGGCATCCGTTTATGGCTAAAAGCCATTTTTTTGGAAGTGTGGATGAACAGCTGTTTAGACCAGTGCGTGCTTTCCGCAAGATGCATTTTTTCTTTCAGGTGCGAGAGCGGGCTCATAGCCTCTAATAAAAACGGCTCCCTAGGAGTGTTGCCCTAAGCATCCAAAAAATTTTAAGTGCACAAATAAGGTTCCAGAGAAAAACAATATTACGACAATTTTAGCACGATTAATTCGTGAAAATAAGGATGATGAATTCAAGTGCTGCTAGTAGCAAGTAGTCTGTCTTGAGCAGAACAACTCTCGCACTGTAACACAAGAATACTCAATGAGGCTGAATGAAAGGCTTCTCAAACATTAACAAGCCTTTTTTAGCTATGCTTTCTTCACAACCCAGAGCTTGTTACACACAGATACCTTTATTTCAGTAGTAGCAATAAACAATCGCACAAGTCCATAAGAAACGAACAAGAAAATCTATAAAATCTTAACTGTCGGCATTGCTATAGGCAGTGTACTTGTCGCTCTTGCCGTACACCTTTGATGCGGGGTACTTCTGTCTGTTGAGCTCCACTTTGCGAAGCACTGCGGCTGGCAGGTCCACCTGACAACGGTCGGCAAGACGAACGAGGTAAACCAGGACATCGCTTAGTTCCTCACCCAGGTGCGTCTTCTCCTCCGGCGTCCAGTCTGCAACAAACAAGGCTACACCTGTGACTGCAACACGAGACATGAAAAGCAGTCAAGAAGAAATGAGTAAGCCCATAAAGCCTTCACCCGTACAAGGCCAAACCTTCACACGAACACAGATACATGATTCACCAGATGCAGAAGGTGTCTGGACTTGTGAATCTTTCATTTAGTTGGTGGGACATTTCTGGGATCAAGAGCAAAAAACCTGTCCATGAAAAACGCGGTCAAGAGCCTTGATATCGTGTCGTAAGATGTGAGCTGTTTAATGCATTCAACAACTCCTGGTTTACCAGCTCACAGACAATAGTGGTTCTTTTATAGCAGTAACTAGAAGCATAACGTTTATGCTCACCTGGTAGGCCCTCTTTGACTTCACCTTTCCACTGGCTGTGGAACAAAATATAAAAACCACTTTAGAGTGAACTAGCCATGGCCGTTTTATTTTATAACCACGCACAATCAACAAGCTGCTTCACGAAAAGTCGTGCCAACTTGGAGGTAAAACTAGGCGACCATCAATTTGAAAAGGGCTGTTGCACAATCTCTATGTGCCTCGACCAATCCCACAATATCTCACATATACACTTTGTCCGATTCAAATATAAATGTATTGTGTCAAGACAACACTTGTTCCCAAACGCTGCTTCAGCCATTACATGTCAACACTACGAACTACAAGTCGTCAACGCAAACGCGAAACCACATCTCAGGTCAATCACTCTCTGGTACACATAAACCTTTGATCTCAGACCTTTAACCGTACGCAGACAACTACAGGCGACACTCTATTATGTCAGATATGTGAAATGCATCAACTTGGCAGTAAGTGTGCGTGTGTGTTTGTGTGTACGTGCGCAAGTTACATCGCACGATACAATCAGCAACTTTCCAGCTAATTACAGGATGAAAAATATTAGGTGGTAAGTTAAACACGCCATCGAAAAGAGTAATCAGCAATCAAGAAAACGTGCATATACCTACAATTACAAAATGTTACGAATATTCTAGTTCCTGCTGCATACGAGATTACCTTAGTTTTCGTAATTGTGGTATTTTGAGTAGATTCAAACTGACTGTAATGGCCTTTGTCGAAAGTTTGTGACTATTTGTTTCAAATAAAATGTTCTGTTCTAAGGCTGTTTTGAAAATGGTCTACTTACTATTCAAACAGTATTCAATTACTATTTGTATTCTATTTGGTGCCATTACTATTTGACTCTTACTTGATTAGGTTCCGAAATTCACTATTCACACACTTCTGATAACTGCGAACGTTCTTTTTGTGCGGGAAGCATTATGTTGGAGAAGTTGAACATTGTGTAAATCACTCTTTTGGATCATAAAGCTTCACTAAGGAGACAGCCATATTCTAACCTGTCTTTGCATTGTAAAACATGCAGCTGCGCAACCTTGTTTGCTGACACGACGGCGCAGTCTAGGTTCAAAGATAGGGTAGCACGTGTCAAGAAGCATATCTCTTTTAACAATGAGCTGCACCATCTTGAAAAGTGGCAGTGCGAGAGAAATGCGGACAGACAGTGAAGACACAAGGACTGCAGGGCGAGACTTGCTAGAGATGTGCCTCAGAATAACAACATGCAATTCCCTCTAGTGCAAATTCTCAAGGCAGCACTACACTTGCAACATGGCTTGAGCTTGGAGGTGCTGCACCTTTTCGGCAAGACAGCGGTTGTGCAATGCCCAACACAAAAGCACCGTCGCTGTTTTTGAAGATCACTTGACTTAATGAAACATTACGAATGCCTTCGTTGTGTATATATGTGCGTGACTATACATACTGTTTGTGTGTATATGTAAACGTATATGTCACAGTCAGGCGCATAGCCAAAATTTTTTTTCAGTGGGGGGGGGCAGTAAAATGTAAATTGCTGGCAGTAAAATGTAGGCAACAATAACCATCGCCATTGTGAACTTCATGCGCCCTTATCTTGTTGGTGCTTGCCTAGAGTGAAACGGAATAATAAAAAGCTGCAAATAATTTTGGACATAGGATGACATACCGAAGTGCCCTGGTTTTTCCCACCAAGTCCTTCATTTCCGAGTATTTGGCGATGAAGAACCTTGTTTTTCGGGCGCTCCAAAGCTCTTCCACATCTTCAGCCGACGCGGCTGCTGCTGGAAATGCGGCTAAAGCCCCATCGCTGTCAACGTCGCCGTCGCAGGCAGGAGAAGGCGTCGGCGGTTGTGCCGGAGGGGGGTCATTTTCACGATTCCCTGCCATGAACCGCAACGTAACGCGCTTGCCGTCTGCAAGGGCGAAAACCAAGATTAAAAATACCGACATAGCATAAGCAATGCTACGAGGCTGTTTGCTGACCGACTACGACTCCTGGCCGCTAACCACGTTTTTTGGCAATGCATGCAGCCTGACTTACCTGATGCCTCATAGACGTAACCGTTGGCGTCCGTCATAAATGACCCGTCGGGATTGTGAAGTGCCTTAACTTCCTTTTGAACGCCCTGAACAACTATTTGCAACGTCGTCTGCTCTGGCCTTGGGGGGACGCCCGCCATGCTGCACTACTCTGCACCTGCTTTGGAGTGCGTGCACGCCGGTACAGAACTCGTCAGGAACTAGGCTTACACCTAGACAAAACGAGGGAGCCAGTGCAGAGGGTGCGACAGAGGGCGCGCGCTGCTCCGGCAAAACGAGGACGAAGGTGCTGCACCCTTTGAACTGGTTCAGCCGGTGCAGCCAAAACGAAGAGACCACGTGTTACCCGCGCGTTGGTGTCACCATTTCGCCATTCTAAAAGTTATTTTTGAGCACGTGAAAGCCTAATTTTTACATTTGCATCTAAAAAGTGTTGAAAATGTTTTGTTCAAGGAAATGTTTTTAATTGCACAAGCAAAGCAAAATGTAGCAACCCAACTGTTATAAGTAATCATGCATCTTTCAAAACTGCGGAATTTTATTTTAGAGACAACTTTATGAACTCAATTGTGATAAAAACACAAAAAACTGCAGATGATCTTGTCATGCGAAGTTAAGTAATATTTTGGCGATTTAGAGGACCAGTACTAGCAACGCTGTGTTTTTCAGTCAAAACCAACATGGCGTCGCTGTGCAGCCGAAAAATTCCTCTTGGTATGAAACAATTCTTGTTTTCATCTCCGATCCGTGCGTAAATATTCATTCAGATTCGACATACGAGCCGTGTATAAGGACACTTGTTTTTACAAAGATCGATCTAACACAAGCTGCGTCATATTTCACATTATGCATAAGTGTTCTCTCGCTGGGAGCTTCTGGCTTATTCGACCTTGCCGTTCACCCGGTGCCATGACTTTTTTTTTTTTGCGTAACATTTATATCTATTATTTAGCACCTTTATTCAGAGCATCTAACTTCTCAACTAAGCGGGCTTATTAGTGCGTAGCGTAAAGATGGTAAGAACTTTACGGTACCCCTGTAATACGGACGCATTCAAAGAGTTGACATTGAAGACGTTTCGAATATGCTAGTTGCGCTCGTTGGCTCCTTTCAGCAAAGTTTTGCAAAGGATCCACGTGGTCGAAAATTTTGATTCGGATTGGACTCTATCGCAGTCGAAAGTGGCTGCGCGTCACGGGTGTTGTGTGGTTTTAAGTGCAAGAACTTCGCGCGATCAAACTACATCGACGAAATGGGGCACAGAAAGCGTCTTTCTTTTCTGTACCGCTTTTCGTTTAACGTAGTTTCATTGTCGAGCCTCACGTCTCGCTAATTAGCCCAACAGTTTATGCTTCTACATCATGGGTATTTTCATAACGGCAGCAAGACAGAGCGAGCCACGTATCGCCAGTTTCCTAAAAACTGTACCCCCCCTGTTTCCTTTCGAACGGCACAGTGACCGGCGCTGTTTGGAGGTGGTCGAGGCCCCTTTCCACCGCGAGCGTCCTGTCCTGCTACAAGCAAGTCCACCCTGCGGAACCTGGTCCCAGCATGAAAGAACGGGTTGACGATCTGTCGAGGCGCGTGTTCCTCACTGAACTCATGAGGGGTAAGTCTTTTATCACGCGCGCACTGAAATGGGCAGTTTTGTGTCGCCTGCACCGGTGTCGAGCCACTGTAGCACAGTATTACTTCTCGATGCTGTGTGGTTGTAGATGCTCAGCAGCTTATAAACGAGCCCTGTGCTCTGTCGCACCATAGCCGCCGCTAACGATGACGGTGATGAACAAGTGCGTTCCAGACCACACAATTTCTTTCTGCCATTACACAACAGGACATGCAAGGGACGTACTATACTCCATAACAGTGAAGTTGACGCTGATGAAGATGAAGATAATGACGATTAAAATCACGAACGACTGGCTTGTGTAGTATGTGGCATCTTGATATGCTCAATCATGCACTTCGTATGACTAGAAACTACCACCAGGGGAACAATCGTGGACCTCGTTTTTGCAAACTTGAGGCTAGATATGATAACACAAAGTTGTAATAATGAAAGCAAAACAAAATTCACAACTCAACACAACATACTATTTATGGCCAATAAAGATTGTATATAACTGTACACGACTTTGCCACTCAGTTACATGTGTGAGTGGTCAATGTCACAGGGGATTTGCGGTAACATCGAACGATCCTACTACTTTGCCCACTTATTATCATTGAATTCATCGATATGCCATGTTTTTTTCGCAAACACGAACGTTGTAAAGGTCACAAGAAGATACATAAGTATGTCGATGCACATACACATGCTAAACTTTCAAAACGTGTTGCTCGAGAACCTTCTGTCATGTCATCTGAACAGTGTTGCTGCTGTGTGATGTTTTCTTTGTTCGGTTATATTAACAAGGTCACGACTCCTCGTGATACGGTTAGTGTGCAAATGCCAGTGCAGCCTATTTATTAGAAGTTATTAAACTCACCGATTCATTTCCTTGTGATCTCGGGAATATGCAATCTCATCACCTTGTGTGTAGGGGGCTTGTTTTCCTCTTACATTGCATATTTCACCATAGGTGAATTGTACTCTGTGTCTGACGGTAGTTACCTACTTTTGAAGCACAGCTTACAAGCCTCAGAACAAGTATAGCTACAAAAAGGACAGCGAAAACAACCCCTTAATTTGTTTATACCGGAAACTCAACTACTTTAAGAAGAAATAGCAAAGCTTGCGTTTGGCTTCGGAAGGGTTGAAAACTTCGCAGCTTCTCGAGAGCACCTTTTTCGGATGCTAGGTTTCGAACTTGGCTGCTGCAGGGTCACACGTTGAGCCACGTCGATCACTTGTCTTCATATCTTGTACTGCCCATAACCGCGAGTGAGACGCTGAATGTTCATGAATGGTACTCTCGACAACACCATCTCCTCCTCCTTGTTGAGTTGCCATAGTGATGTAGGATTAACCAGACATATAAAGCTATCAGGGACGCTAAACTGAGGAATGCTATCATGCACAGTTGTGTCCCAGTATGGTGCTGACAACTTTCGTTAACCATGGTCACTCTTTTCCGGGAGCATGTCTCACAGAACTTGATACTTCTTTGCATACTTCTCATTGCACTGAACAAAGCTTATCATTGATGAGGTGGCATTGAACCATAATATATCACGCATTTAGCACGGATGTCCAAGCATGAGGGCTATAAGCTTGTGCGCAAACCTAGAATTGGCTCCTTCAGTACTTGCATGGACCTCTCACCGCAGTGCTTCATATGAAGCCTTCATCGCAGTCGTGATGAACATCGCCATCTTCTGATGCCATGTGAGGAAAGATTGAAAGTCATCTTGTCTTTAATCAGTTGGCATGACTTGTCCATAGAATATGAATGGTTGTGGGTGGGCAAGCCATGAAATAGGTACAAGGTGGGCGTCAATGTGTATTAGGTCACGACCACACGCGCACTTCTGCAGCAGTTATTTCTTATCATCATAGAGAACTGTCAAAGCCGTGTTTTTCTTGAATTTTATTGATTTTTTACCAAATTTCGTGGAAGTGATTGGCGAGCAGGAATTGTGTCGTTTACCCCATGTTTTAGCAATCGCCTCTATGGAAAATATGGCACTAAATAATGTAAAAGTGTGTGCAGAGCAGTAAGCAGTGTTTGAAGCAGCCTTTTATTACTGCAAGTAGCTGAGAAGGTCCAAGATGCGGATAGCTGATGAATGCTGACCTCACTTTTGCAAGAGCTGTTCATTATTCAACTTTCTCAATTTGAATCACAGGTGTCTCAAACTGCTCTTACTTCTCTCTCTTTCTGCTTAAGAGACTCTATTTATTGAGGTTGCTCAGATTGAAAAAAGCACAAATGTCAGGACGCTTTTGGAAACAAAAGAATTAAGCTATAAATTCTCTTGACGAACTTCACATTGCACCGTCGAAAACTGGCTTTTCAAAAAGCATCTGTCTCTTCTGATGTGATATTATTGCTTCATTACTGCTTTATTTTCATTACTTCATTCAATTACTTTATTGTTAAGTTTTATTTGCCGAATCGAATTGGGACAAGTTTCACGAGCTTTACTGTGGAGTTTCGTTTGTTGGCTACCACCACTTCACATATTGTCTTGTAGTGTCTCCCTTTTAAAATCGCCTGAGAGATACGGTGAAGGTTAGATTTTTATGTCTGTCATCTTGACTAGGTCTGTTTACATAACACAAATAAACAGATATTTAATATTGCTATGCGTCGAACACCGCAAAGGAGTGCAGCCACAGCTGGCGGTATAGCGCATTAAGATGAGAAAAACGAGAAGAGGAAATCACGGCTGCTGGTCGTAGTTACTAAAGTGCTTACATGTCAGCAAGAATTCGTTCAGTACATTTGGTGGCAGCTGTGGAATGCGAAGAATGGACGGACTAAAGGACAAACTGGTGATCACAATGAAGGAAGCACTGGCTAAACTGGACCATCTGCAGCTAGCGAGGTTCGAAGAGGTGATTCGCAAATGAGTGTTAAAGAAAAAACTGACTGACGCTGTAGTTGATGCTTGTCAGACAGTGAATCAAATCATTTCCGAAGAACAGTACATGAACCTGCATACCAAACAAAGTATCGCTGATGTACAATGCCGAGGTCCGGGAAACCAAGGAAGTGCCAATCACCGCTCATCCTGTGCATGCAGTATCTGCTGACTGCTGACTGCAGTTCTACCGATGTAATCATGCAGGAACGGTGTAGTCATCTGTGTGCTGTCAAGAGGACGGGCAAGAGACAGGAGGACAGACAAGGGGACAGAACAACGAAAAGTGCTGATGAAGCAAGAAATCTATGCAACTTCTACCTTGACAAGAAAAGAATACAAGCTCTATGGTATGATGAGCGCTGTAGCGATGGCATCAGTGCTAGATACTGCAGCAAGAATCTCGTCAACGCTCAAAAGTCTCCCAACGTGCCACCGTCTGATGAGAAATTTGTGACCTTTGCTACAACAAGGAAAAGGACCTCAGCGATTGCCGACAGAATACGTTTTCGTCGCGCTACTTTTCTCGCCAGTCTGACACACTGCAACCGTCAAGGCAGCACTGAAGACAATGCGAAGCCAAGTGAGCGAAGGGCATACGCTCGAATAGCCTGCCATGATCATCATCATCATCGCAGTGTAGGTTGTGTGTTCCCGACGAATCAGTCAGCAAAAAGAAAGTACAGACTACCCAAGTGTCCAGCTACCAAAGAATACATCAGTAGCTGTCAAGTTACAAGTGTCCTGCGTCTTATCCTGCCTCGGCACCGCAAGGCCATGTTGTGCCAGCTGGACCATTTACGCGACACCACCCAACCTTTCAACATTGGATATTGGCC